CATACTTTTTATATTAGAAAAGAAAAATTCCAAAAACTTTTGTTACACACTGTATATTGCTACTATTTGACCAGTTTTACCAAGACATTTTCCGTCGCGCTTCTTTGCATACTATTCAGCCTTAGCCACTTCATTAATAATACGAACGAAATTAACAGATCTGGAACGACTATTTTCTTCCAATATACTCTGGGGCGGATACTGAAGTTTTTCTAAATCTACGTACATGAGCTCCTCTCTCACAAATCCCCGCTTTGGAGGATATTCATCATCATCGCTTCCGAGATAATATAAAACCGGTTCATTTTTCGTTACCACAATTTTGCAGATTTTATGTAAAGAAGGTGAAAACGTTGGGTCCGTAGCCCTTTTCTGATTCTCCATACCTCCTTCCCACTCCGCATTGGCAAGCAGATAACGAACTGTATCACCTTTCTTCAGCCTATTTTCCTCATTTTTTCCAACCGGACGCTTGTACTTTGTAGATGGCCTAGATTCTACTCGTTCTAGTTTGATAGCTTTTGCTGGAGCTAAGCCCCACTTTGTAGAACCCGGAGCTCGAATGAGACGCGTTGGATAATTATTTAAGTAATCAATAACTTCTGGCAAATACTTAACCCACTCTCTTATTAATTTAGGGTTCGAAGTTATACTTTCGACAGCATATTGAACTTTATATAGTATTTCTGCTAAAGTTTTATTGAAGCGTTCCACAAGAGCCAATCCTCTGTGGCTATATGCACCAATTACTCGAATTGTGACATTATGCGCTTCCATTAATCGAGCAGTTTCACCCATGAATTCTTTACCACCATCACATTGTAGAAGTGTTGGGTATGTAAGAGGGTTATTGGGATCATTATAAATTTTCTTAAAGGCTTTAGCAACTTCAAAACTATTTTTCGATGTGAGAGGAACACTCGCTTTGAATCTGCTAGCCACATCTATTATGTTAAGTACTGCTATCCATTTTTTATTTTTGTAGTGGTCATGCGTAAGAAATAAGAGGTCGCACTGATGTACACAGTTTGGGCATGAAATTTTACCATAACTAACTCGTGAAATATTTTTCGGTGACGGAGCATACTTTTGCCACTCATTCTGGTTATGCAACCATTCATGAACTTTTTTGAATGGAAATCGATATCCTTCTTTCTTGAGATCTTTATATAATTTTCGACCATTGGAATGATAGCCTGTAGGTCGGTAAAAAAGCAATTTACAGATTAAGTTTAACTCTTCATTTGGATCGATTCTAATAATAGGCTTGCTCAATTTACTCATTTTCAATATATTTTACTATAGCAATAAACTATGTTTCAGCAAAGCCAAGAGATAAGTCAATATAATATGCTATAAAAAAAAGAGATAGAGTCTCATTACTTCGTAATAATTATGGCATTTCATAAACCCCGACCCCCCAATCGAACAACTCATAGATCAGCTATGGATAAAGAACTTGAGCTAGAACAAATTAACCAAGAACTCCAGAAGATATTGCAATCAGAAATAGCCATCAACAAATCGAATGAGAAATATATAAAGGATCTGGAATATAAATATATCCGGTGTGAGAATGAAATTCAATCCCTCAATAAAGAACTGGAACAGCTCGAGAATGCTTCAGAGGAAGAAAAGGCCGATTTGAGATCGGAAATATTATCCCTTAAAAAAAGCTTATATCAAGCTAAAAAGGAGATCCGAGACAAGATATCTTATATCGATAATATAGAGAAACAATTACAAGAATCAGAAGAGCGGATTCAAAATCTAAGGCATAGATT